ACAGGGATTTGATTGAAAGTACTGTAGTGTACAGTTGGTATTATTGTCTGCACAAAATTTTAATTTCATTGGGGGGAAACGGACGAAGGACATTTACAATTTTGAGTCAACTCATTTTTTATTCATCCTCTTATCGGACATTTCGTACACGCTGATCGATAAATAATATCACGAGAAAGATAATCGATTCGATCAGCATCAGCAATAACGCAGTACATCATCAATAAGAAAATATGGAATCTTCAGCAGAAGCGTTGACAGTATTTTTATTCAGGGAATTAAAATTTTCAGTATATTTTATTATTTCAGAATTCCATGGAAGAATAGAAAAGAATACGAACAGAAGTACGCGGGATGGTCCAAGAGTTTTGTCAGTACTTCGAAATAAATTTTTTTTTGGGTGCCCAAGCTCATGAGTCAGGATCTTCCAAACCTTTGTGGGATCATTACGTAAACAAAAATAAAGCCTCCGTTTGTTCTGATTGTTCTGTTCCGTTTGTTCTGATCGATAAATAATATCACGAGAAAGATCATCGATTCGATGAGCATCAGGAATAACGCAGTACGTCATCAATAAGAAAATATGGAATCTTCAGCAGAAGCGTTGACAGTATTTTTATTCAGGGAATTAAAATTTTCAGTACTGTATATTTGATTATCGTCCTGGCTAATGCGCTTTCACGATGTTTTGTTGTTGTAAATTTCAGGAAATTATGTCACCTCGTATACTCAGGTTATTATTTTTTCAATTCTCAATTGCGTTTGATATTTTATTTTCCTGACAAAAGAACGCATCATTTCATAACCCATTAGTGTAATTTAATTGCCGTACTGACCATCAAAACTTACCGTAATTCGGTGTAGCCATGTTTGTTCAAGGCTAAGATTGCGTTTCTCGATAATCTGCCTTTGTGGCAGGTTATGACAACATTTGAACCCGGCTTCTCTGGACGATTGAAGCCGTATATTTCGGAGAAATCGTTGCTGGGTAAATTGACGAAAGCGTCTTCAATTTTTGCAACTATAAAAAAGAATTCGATGAAATAATGTGCCTCGTTTTTCTTTTAAACTTTTAAAGTCAGATTCTTCGTAATGCTTAAACTAAATTGCATAAATAGCTGGGAATGATTTACGTGGCTCTGCCAAGCTTCTCGAGAAATTGAAATCAATCCTCAACATTCATCTAACATTCCTTGATTTTTGATCATATTGTACTGTAATAATGCTGTCAGGAAAATCAACACCACAGCAGTCAGCACTCATCAATTTCTTCAAATATTTGCGAATATTTTGCAGCAAAATTCATCTTTCTTCAGTGACTTTTTCAAAGAAAAACTTGAATGATTTACGTGACTCTGCCAGATTCCTACAGTTGCTTTTCTTGATCTTAATTTTTTCTGAAAATTCCTAGATTTTTTTCTGGACTATAAACTGCTGTCCGGAAAATGAGCACCACATCATTCACGAATTTCAATAAAAAAAATTTGAATATTTTGCAGTAGAATTCATATTTTTAATGATTTAAGTTGTTCTGACAAACTTTGACAATCACTTTCCTTGAACTTGAATTTATTACTGGACCTTCTAAATTCCTGAATTTTTTTTTTACAACTGTATAATGCTTTCTGGTAAATGAGCACCACCTTATTTATCTACTTCAGTAAATATTTGTGAATGTTTTCTAGCGTTCATTAACTTATTTTTTTTAAACGTGAATGATTTACGTGGTTCTGTCAAAAACTTCCGCTTTTCTTGAACTTAAATTTATTCCTAAACATTCAAACATTCTTTGATTTTTTCCCAGACTATAATTCTTTCTGGAAAATGATCACCACCGTATTCACCAATTTCAGTAGATATTTGTGAATACTGTACTTGGCAAAAAAATTATATTTTTTCAGTAACTTGTTTGGAAAAAACCTCGAATTTCTCCCAGCTTAAACTGATTACACGCCGCGTTATCTGGGAAGGCTCCGGTTGATTTTTTTCTTTCAAACTTTGAAAAATCAAAACTTTGGTTGCAAGCTAAGGTATACAAGCCTATTATATGAAATTTGATAGAGGTATTTATTATGAAATATTGACTTTATTGCCTCACTCACTCGATCTCATCGAAGTACTCACAGGGAATATGAAAACTGCCGGGAATCAGGCCGCGTTTTCGCACAGGCTCCCGACCGCGAACATCAATCACAATCAATGTTTGATCTTCCAGGCCTTTTTTCACCTCCTCAAATTCGATCA